AAATACATGTCGTGCGTTACCCATTTAGTCCCACAAAAGTTTGAGCTCAGTAATTAGTAATCAGCTCATATCACTTTTCACAACTATTGCGTATATGTGCGCTCATAAAATACATGTTTATTTTTGTTTAGCAAACCAGGCATTCTTAGCTCTACTCGCAAATAATCTCGGTGTTGGACCAAAAACCTACACAGAGTTTGCTGAAAGTCAAATTGGTTATATGCTTGGAGACACGGGAAGAAGCTTCGTAACAAACTTTGGAGTAAATCCCCCCGTCAGACCGCATCATAGAAGCAGGTAACACAATTGATCCATATAACCGAGGCGACTTCTTTATTTGTAAATTGATCGCATGAATGAGTGAATGCTTTCCTGGAAGTTAAAATGGTTATTATATTTGATATTGCATAATGCAGTATATTGCTTATTGATCAATGCAGTACAGAGCATGACGTCATCAAGGATTAATGAGCTTTTTAATAATGATTATTATTATTATACATCTGTCACCAAAACGCCATATGTTACAGCGTGCCCTAATTCCGCGGTATTTCACGGGGTATTGTCATCCTATCATATGAAGAAATGCGAATTTCAAATATAAAATGATTACGCGCGTAAGCGTCCTCTAATAACAAAAACAAATATGACTGCTGCCAAGGTTTGACCGGACTTCACACAAACAAGTTCGCTGAGTCTGTTCTAAACTTTTTTTATTTGGATTACGGCATTCCCGTGATGTAACCTTTGGAAGGAAAAGATGTATAATAATAGGGTTATTACGAGGATTATTATTATTATTATTATTATTATTATTATTATTATTATTATTATTATTATTATTTATTATTATAACTGTTTTCATTGGCATATTTCCATATGATCACTGTAGTTCCTGCCCTTCAGAGCCAGACAGTTGTGGCTGGGCTTTCTTGACTGCAACAGAACCAAATATTCAGACCTTAGAAGGAGGCCTTGTTGGTGGCCCTCTAATTGATGACTCTTATACAGATGATCGTCAAGACTACCGGGCGAATGAAGTGGCGATTGACTACAATGCTGGATTTCAGTCTGCAATTGCAGGTAATGTATTTTAGAACCAATTTTATATCCTAGCGACACAAAATGCAAATTACACTCTTGGATGATATAGAGCAACCAGTGTGATGACGCATGGAATCACAACACTTTCGTAGGACCCTGTCTGAATACACGCACGCGTAATAATATTGTTTAATATATAGAGGAGTACATAGTTCCAGGAAGTATTGTCTGTCAGTTACAGTAGTAAAACATATAAATACCACTATTGTCTAACTATATACTATTTGCCAATGATTGGTCAGAATGTGGTCACGTGACATTCTGATCTAAATATTCCCTTAACATTTTGGAAATTGCGCAGTTGTCTTGTTTGGCTGCAATGATGATCCGTCTAACGGCGATATGTGGTTCTTATTTTTTCCTAGGCCTACTCCTCCACAGAGCTAGTCCTTCTTTATTTGCTGGTAACTTGACTTTAAATGGATTGGATTCTACAGACGCACCGGAGTACAAACGCTATTGAAGACACTTTTTTAATAGTTAAATTCTTATCATAGTTATAGTCTTATTTAATCACCTCTATCAGTATGGTATGCGTTTATTTTAACAATTTGTTTGGGCAGCATAGATCCATCTACATTTATGACAATTTACATTATTTTCGGCAATATGTTGACTCTGAAAATCACGGAAATAAGGCACGATTAGGCTACTTTTTATACAAGCAGTTTCAGGTACATCACATGCACTAATTTACACATAGAACTACAACCAAGTGATATAAGTGATATTGAACATCATTACATGTGTTCCCATGGCGCCCATATGTTTATATTGCATGAACATTAAAAAGATCGCTCAAACTATTGGAGTCAAATCCTGTACATATCATCGACATTATGGCCGTCGCCATGGCAGTGACGCAGCATTTCTAACTTAAACAAATGGCGACTGTCATTGACAATGAATTGTTATTGATTGCACTATCATTGTAACGTGTAGAGCTCGTGAAATGATTACCATAGAGCAAAATAATTGCTATCGAGCCATTATTTCGACATGTAAAATATTTTCAATGTACCAATATCAACCAACCAAGGTTACTTTAGTTTATTACCAATTATCTGATTTGATTATATTGCTTAAGTGGAAAGCCCTTATTTGCATGTTTTGCTCAATAGTGATGTTAACTTGTGATGTTTTATTGATTAGATAAATCTAAATAAAGTATTATATCTGCAGCATAAAGTTGAACATGTGGTGTAATTATTTGTTCTGCTTACTCATGTTTCATTTGGTCATAAATGTTAAAATTTGTTGTATTTATTTATGTATATATGTGTCATTTTTCCTGATTGCACGTCAAATCGTTCGCGTCGATGGACATGCTTTCAGAGTCTCGTTTTTTTGTGGTTCGTATGGGGAATGTTATTATTTAGTACTACATCAGTATCTTGCGTTATCAGCTTGAAAATCGTTCTACTTGGTTTTCTATATGGTATTCTACTTGGTAGTCCATATGGTTTCATCCAGTGTGTACATACACAATATACGTGGATCCTCTGTTTAACACATATACTGAAAAATTTGTGAAACGATGATTTTTTTTCTGCTATTTTTTATCAATTATGAAATTGGCGAATGTGTAGTAATTATGAATATGAATAATTAGCTACATAATAGCTGTGATTATATATTGTTTTTGTTTAAATATAACAACATTTAGATGATCAATTCTTACCGAAATATTGTATTAGACACAACGCCATTGCAATTTGACCCTACATATATACACATGAAATGCGTCTGTAAACTAAGATTCTAGTTCTCACCATTTCGTTGAAATCGGTAACATAGTGAAAAAACGTAGGACATTGTAACGTATGTTGCAAACTATTATTGGAAAGCACACATAACATTATCAGTAAGAGATCGCAAGGCATAGACTTAGTCTCTGAAGATAAATACGTATTTTACGAATCGCCCAAAGTCCCGTTAATTTGTTTTGTACCGTAATCCCGAGGTTAGATTTACATAACTGGTTTTCAATAGACTGCGCCCTCTGAAAACCTAGACACAACCCGCGGTTATTATTGTTGTCATTGCCAAATGATTTAACGTAGAACATCGGTATATAAAGTATATGCTATGGCTCTCAGAGTTAACAATTATGATGATGGACGTTTCAAATTGGCACTAATGATACATGAAATGTTTTATTAAAAATAAGTATTGGAGATAAAATACAATAGTCACATCTATCGCCGCTTTAAGACTCTGCCAAACAATTGGCCTTCCGAGTCATTGTCACCTGGACACGTTACCCGACTGTGACATTCAGCCGCAAGGTGTGTAGCCAGTTTATTATTTTTTCAATATCCAGGTATAAGTTTACAAATGCAGCTAATAACTGTTGCACCGCAACATTCTATGTGATGATGATTTTCAAACAGCGTTCTATGAACTCACTATTTGTCATATTAATTTTAGATAGTATGTTCTCGAGTTCTACATATTACAAAAAGTACTGATTTATAGTAAAAGTCAGGCACGATATGCTAAATTGACGGCCATGTTGTCCAATCTGGTTAGGAATTACACTTAATATGTACACTAACAGAAACGGCAGTACTGGTTAAAGTGATATTAGTTATCGAGACTAGTCGCCTGGCACTAAATTATATATCTGTTCTGTTCCTGACAATAGAATCTCCATGTTGTGTACGGCGCCCTCAATATTATACCGTTGTTTTTATTGATCATATGTTTCATTCTAATACTCTGACAGGGAGGAAGGGAAGGGGATCAGTGTGTTGCAGCGGCTCGCAATGAATCATGTTCTCAATGGCCGCATTTTCGTGTTCATTTGGTTTTTGACACTGTCACAATCCTACAATATACGAAACTATGGGACAGTCAACCTCAATAGTTCTGCAATGAAGTACGTTGTGATGTTTGGTTTGTAGTGTGGATATTTGTTGTTTGATTGCGAGTACTTTGATTTCTAATATCTAAGTCACTTTCCCTTCAAATAGATCTTTACCAGGTGTACGTATATATAATCTTGAAATAGTTGCACCCATTGCTCATTGTGTGACACTGTGAATTCTGTTTGAATATTTGAATTTGCTGCACTGAACATACTAAGTAAGTGATTCGAATGTTGTTATTATGTTTCAATAGGCTCAGTTATACTGTTTCTATATTGCTATTGATTTCAAATCACATTCTTGCCATATTGCCAGATCGACATTATTCAACAAGCATTG